CCGCCCCCGCCGGCCGAGGCTGGGCTGCGGGAGGCGGCCGGGCAGCCCCGAGCCTCGCTAGGGCGACCAAAACAAAGGCAGCATCCGGGGCTGGGTGGATGCAAACAACCATGAAAGACTGGGCTCGCTCTGTCCCCGGCTCCGCTGCTGCCGCTGCCGCTGCCGCTGCCGCTGCTCCTCCTCCCGCCGCCGCCGCCGCCCGGAGGGCTCCGCTGTGAGGGGGAAACAGGGGCGCAGCTGCTGGGCGTGAATCCGAAAGGTGCGAGCCCGAGAGCCGGAGGAAGGGGCGGGCAGGCCACGAAAATGTCCTCGGCCGTGGGGCCCCGCGGTCCTCGCCCACCCACGGTGCCTCCCCCCATGCAAGAGCTGCCCGACCTGAGCCACCTGACCGAGGAGGAGAGGAACATTATCATGGCAGTGATGGACCGGCAGAAGGAAGAGGAGGAAAAAGAAGAAGCCATGCTCAAGTAAGCCACCCCCAGCCGCGCCATCCGTGCCTCCGTGCCTCCATCGGTCCATTCACCACTCACTCGCCCAATCCTCTCGGCTGGGTGTGGGGGAGGGGCGGGCCAGGGTGCTGGGTGCGGGCGGAGGCGCCCGCCTTGGGGCCGGGGGGCGCTGGGCTTGTGCAGGGAAGAGGTTAGGGGGACCCGAGGAAGGAGGGGATGCCACGGAGCCCAGAGCCCAGCAGCCAGGAGAGGTTGGCTTGAGACAGGGTGCAGGAGGACTGAGTGGTCAGTGAACATCCTGGGGGTGAGCTATGCACGAGCTGAGAAGAGCTGATCCCACCCTAGTGGAAGGGCCCTGGGCGGGGAGCAGGTTAGGGGCAGGGAATGAGTAGTAGAAAGGGGAGGTGGAATGAAGAGGTGCTGAGAATAGCTCCTCTTCTCTTCTTGGAGTTGTTTAGCAGGTTGGGGTAACCCCAGTGAAGGGTGCCAATATTTATATAAGAAAAATGCTTATTTTTAGTGTGCATTTTGGGACTCATTCATCTCACAGATCAAGGTTGGGTCTTTTTTTTTTTGGGCAGTTGCCATCTTTGGTAACCTGCCTTCCTAGCTTCTCTTTAACCTTTTCTTCACAGCCTTTTTACACAGAATACTTGTGTGAAGACACATTTTCTTACTCATAGATAATGCCATTGTTAATGCAAAGTTTTTTAATAATGAGAGAAGCTGTTGGGGACTCTGGCCTGAATAAAATAGAGGTTCCCCTTTGCTGGTTTCCAAGAAACCTCTGGGGCCTGCTCCGTTCCTAGTGGGAGCAGTACAATACAATTTGCACAATCCCTCCTTCTTTAAAGCCCAGCAACCCTTCAGGGGATCTCTGTCCAGTGCCCCATTTTCCTGTGTCTGTGGAGGGGATGGGGTGCATTGCTGCTGGTGCAGGCGTGTGTGACACTGTTGCTGCTTGCTTTAATCGGAGACAAAACTGCTTACAAGGTACTGGCATCTAGACTTGGTTTTCCTTGCTCCTTAGCATCACACTTAGAGTGGAGCTGAAGGGGACTTCAACCTTGCCTTCCCTTGGGAGGTCTTTATGTATTCAGGAAAGTTTCAACTCAGGGGTGAGGGAATTTACAGACCCTGACTGGGACTAATTCCTTGGTGTCCCCTGGTTAGGCCAGAAGGTGTACCAGGGGGCAGAGGATTGGCATGAAGAGCCGAAGGGAACCTGTTGCATCTTGAGTTAGCTGATAGTAAAGAAGGGGCCAGCAGGGAACAAAGGTGACAGCCAGGCACAGAGCACACCTAGCATGGCCTCGCCCCCACCCCTAGGGTTGCCTCCTGATGAGAGGATGCTGCCACCAAAGATTGCTTCCTTTTTGCCTCAGTGCAGCAGTGCCTCACAGGAGAGGAACGGAGGGAGGGAGGCTGCATTCACAGACTGATGGGTCCCCACCAGTGTTACTGCCACCCAGAAGGGAGAGGGGACTATTGAGGGAGAGTGGTGGGTGCCGGGTCACAGCAGAAGAGTAGAAATCCAGTCATTCCTGCCCTTTCATTTTAGACTCAGAAAAGGGCCATTAACTCGGAAGGCCGGAGCTGGCCTGGTTCTATAAAGAGCAGCAGGTTTCTGAATTCCCTGCTCCTTCTCATCCAAAAAAAAAAAAATGCTTGAAGCCTGCTGGCTTGAGGGAAGCTGAACCCTTCCTTGTTAATCTGCTGCCTGTCCCTAGTGGAACAATGACGTCCCTAGTGCTGCAGGCTTCCCCTCTTCTGAGATTGGAAGTAATGGATGGTGTCTGATGGTGCTGCCGTCTGTCTGTCTGGTTGTCAGTCTGTCTGTCCTCACTGGTTGCAGCTCCTGCCACCTGTTCCTGGGCACCTTATCTGCTGGTCACGATTTACAGGTTTGCTACTGTTCCTTTTGGTGTTCACTGCAGGCCTCCAGCAGCCAGTGGAAAACATGAGCTGCTGCTTGTCAGGGTTTGAATAGGAAGGGGAAGGCGCAGTGCAAGTAGTGGCCATCACGCCCCTTCATTGGCTGTTTCAGGGATGGCAGAGAGGGAGGGATTTCAAGTGGGAGAGGGCGAGTTTTAGGACAGAATCCCAAATCTGCTCACTGCCTATGGACAGCGATGAAAATATTGTATGGGCTTATATAGTAAAAAATGAGGAGCGTCCAACTGCTCATGTCTAAAACATCTTTCCCCTTGCTGTTCCTATGACTGCTGTCCACTGGCTTGCAAATATTGTTCTTTTATTGCAAGGATTCACACACTATTTCAGTATGTGATGCTGTGATATATACAACAGCCCTCTCTCATCCTGGACCTCTGAATTAACTTTATCAATCAGCCTCCTCTGCTAATGTCTTGCTTGGCCTTTTGTGCAGTGGCAGATTGGTGAGTGTTTTGGAATCCCAGTTTTCTGCCATGTAAGTGTGTCGAAGTGTCTGCAATTGGTGGAACAGTGCTGTACTTTTTTCTAGAGGGCACTTTATGTCTTAAGACTGGGGATCATAGGGGCTATTCAAATTATATATGTAATATATATGAACTTAATGACATGGAGTTGTAAGTGGTGGCCTTTTCTAAACTTTGCATAACAATATATTGGAAAACAAGATGCTTTCCATAGGGCTTTGAAATATTTGTTTAATCAGAAATAAGTTTTTGTGGTAGTGGTTGGTCCATCATATCACATATCTGATTAATTACTTTCACAACAGGCCCTACGAACTTAGACTTAAAAGACTTAAAATTCACTTTTGTCATCACTGCAGAACAATCACATTAAGCTACCTACTGAGCATGCTGTCTCTCTTTGCAATGTATTAAAATAGTCATTAATACAGATAAGATAGAAAACTAATGGGTAAATATGCCAAAGAAACAATATAAAATATCAATTAAAACATATTTGTATAGTTTCATCAGCCTTGATTGTAAATTGCTACTTGAATTTGGACTTGATAAAGTTTTAAATAGATAGAAATGGAAAAGAATAATCAAACTACTTTCACATCAAAGATTTCAGATAAATTTTATTCAAAATTGTAAGTACTTTATCATAAAAATCATTCATTTTGTAGGCAAAGTACACTAATTTTGAATACCATTGCCGTATAACTAGAAATAGCTGACTCCTGCAAATAATTTTTAATGGTTGACTTAATTATCTGAAAATAAGAGGTCTTTTCTTAATCTTAGTAAGGTTTTTGGTGTGTGTGTGTGTGTGTGTGTGTGTGTGTGTGTGTGTGTATGTATGTGTGTGTTCTGGAGACTTTTTGAAACCTGACTTCCTCAATGAAAACCCCTTCAAGTAACTGTCACCAGACACCATGAGCCAATATATTACATGGGTTGAAAACTGTATTATCTGGGACCTAAATCAGAGAAGATCTCATTAGATCTAAAATCACATTCCTTTTTCTTTTATAAAAGCTTCATAGAGAAAGGAACTACAGAATAGTAAGTAAGAGAAGAGCAAAAAAAATAGAAGTAGAGTTCAAGAGATGTTTTGCGAATGGGAATTGAGAACCTTATTGGAATATTTAATAAAACTACTAACATTTATTGAGCATTTACCTCATGCTGGCCATTATTCTAAGTGGTTATCGACTCAAATGCCAAATAGCTGAACTATGCTCAGGTTTAATATATGTATATTTAAATTCTCACAACAGCCTGTGCAGGAGGTAAGTTAGGTCATATGATCTTCAAATCTTCATCCTATACTCAGAGAGTTCCAGTAATACCCTCGCCTGACTCATATAACATGACCTAATCAGGATTCAAAGCCAGACCTTTTATTCTAAGTCCAAGTATTATCCCACACACTACTACACTGTCCTTCTACCAAGAAGCTTGTGCATTTTCCTTACATTAATTTCTGCTCTTCCCTCAGTTTCAGAGAAGTGGTTTGGCAAAAGATTAGGCTGATTCAAAGGTTCAGCTGCTGATTCTCGGAGGGCCCGCAGCTTCACCCACCCTCCTGATCGAGTTTTCCTTTGGATTGAGGGCAGGAGAATTGTCGCCAGTTCAAAGATAATAAAAAGCATCATGCTGTGGTGGGCAGATCACTCATATCGGATCCAAGCACTTAGTTCTAGTTCTGCCCCTGTGTAAATGTGGGCAAGAAAATTAACCTGAGGATCTGAGAGAGTCTATTTTTCTGAAAAATCCTGCAATTCATGGTGTGAAGTGATTTGTAAAGAGTAGTGACTTGGGGCTTCTTCCTCTCTTCTTCACAGGAAACCAAACACTGACTTTTCAAATATCCGCAATATCCACTTCCTTCATGAAAGGAGAAAGTACAAGGAGCAGAACTCTTACAACTTAAGCTTTTCTTCCCTCCTTTTTCATCCTCCAACCAATTATAATATTGTGGCCTGAAATGTGTCTGTAAGGCTTCATATAAGAGACCCCAAATAGCATCTGGGAAAAGAAGGAAAAATACACTGGGGCAGCTGGGGAGGGGTAAGGATAGAGCCCCCATGTATGCGAGTATTGTGTTTTCCTTGGGGTTTGCAAAGATTTTCATAACTCACACCCACAAATATTCTATCGTGTTGCTGAGGCAGGATGAGTAAGAAGGGAAAGGAAAAAAAGGCAAATGGTAATGAGAAAAAGTGGCTTAACCATGAAGAGGTGTGTCTGCCTATACCAAGTTGCATGTTAAGTAGAAAAAGAACGGGAGAGAAAACTTACAACCTTTCCCTCGGAGTCTAGTCTCCTTTATACCATTAATGGATAAGGCTACGTTTAGGGAAGGTTAACCCTGAACTTTATTGGAGTTTTCCACTTTCAGCAAAAACCTATCTTAGTAAATGTGCATGGTCAGTACTGAGTTCTCAAATACTTATGGAGAAAACATAGAAAAGGGAAGCCTAAGAAAATGAGAGAAGTGAGGCATTAAAGAGAATGGAGGGAAAGTGACATAACCATGAGTTCACATTTTTGCCAACCTATTTTGACTTTCTTTTAACTTGTATGTATTTCTTTTGAACCAGAAGTGAGGGG